TTAAAAAATTATTTTCTTACTCTATTTTGCTTATTAAATGCAATTTTATTTTTGAATATATTCTGGTTGAGTTTGAACTATGTAATTTTTAATCATGAGCTTCATTAACATCATTTGATTTTGGGTGTTGAGCTTACCTCCACCCAAAACGGATGAATGATTTTAATGATAATTTGATTAAATTCTTTTGTTCAAACATCTTTTCTCCATCTTATTTCTTCTTTTACTTTTTCTTGTGCTATAAGTTTCATGAGTGTGGTTTCTATCATATCTCAAGACTTGTGTAGTACATACATTGCTATTGACCGACCTCAAAATAGGTGTGAATTCTACATAAGTCCACTTACGTTTGCTTAACATAGCGCTAAATTTTGTCCCGATTCGAGAAATGATCATTCGTGGTCCAAAGCTATGTTTGCAAGCCCAAGTATATTTAATTTAAAACCTTCGATCCAATAACCTCGAGGTTCATTGTTAGGAGGTTTTGGACTTATTAATCCTCTAAGGAACCATCATAAACTTTGGTCTAAGTGAATCATTTAAATATCGTTGATCATATGTTATCGCCTCGAGAATTTGAAATGAATGATATACTTGACAAAAAGAAAATGAAACTTGTTGTTGAGAGGATTTGATTTTATCAATCTTCTAATAAGTTTTCAAATTCAAGTTTCAATATTGACATTCAACTAACCTCTAATTTCTAATTCACTAACAATTGACTTTTACTTTTTACTTTTATTTTATGCTTTTACTTTATGTCTTTACTTTTATGTACCATTTATTTTGGCATTTACATTTCATGTCATTTTTATATTTACTCACTTGAGCATTTATCTTTATGTATTTATTCATCTTTGATCACTTGAGCTTTCATTTTCTTTTTGAAGACACTTAATAACCAACTTGAACAATAAAAAAAACTTTAAAGTTACTTGGACTATTTGGTTACTATCCTTGGCATTATGGAGTTATGAACTTCTCGAACTTAAGATTAGAAGCCTTTGATACCCTTAAGACCTTGTGGCTCTGATTGTTATTTTGTCTGGAGTTCTTGGGATTTACCCCAAGACATTGGGTTAATCTTCTTTGTGTGCGGGTTATTTTGATTATATGATTTGTCTGTGATTGAGAATTCCTCTATATACAACAGTTACTCTGCCCAATTTTTGTGAAGACTTAATGTATCTGAAGCTTAATATTCTTAAGAGGTTTAGTATCTTCGATTGCTTGGTTTAAATCCAAAGAATGAGAATTCTACATTGACTCTTTATGTCAAGTGTTGGCTTCTTTTTGGTTAGACGGTTCTTTTCCCTAGCTTTTACCTTATGCTTTAGGATAGTCCCTTCATCTCCTCCCATCTTCTTTAATTTCAAAAAAAATCTCTCTCCTTTTCAAAACTCTTCTTGATTTCTAACTTGAACCGTTTTCACAATAAACTTGGACTTAGGTCCATGCATTTTCAAAAAATTATTTTCTTAATCAAACTTTAATCAACTTAATCGTACTTTGACATTTTTTGTGAGAAGACTAAAAGTTAATCAATCTCATTCAAACCATTTTTACCACTTTGGCTTTTTACTTTAAAATTTTCTCATAAGATTAGTCTCTTGTCAATCCTTGTAGTTATGTGAGCTACTATACTTCTAGGATATATAGTGAAGTGAGATATTTTTCACTTAGGTGTTGAGTGAGGCTTTGTTGATTTCAAAATCCAAGCTATATCCTCCACTTTGAGATGACGCAAATTCTCCTTTCTCATAATCGTGGATAGTAAGTATGTTTTCCACTCGGATATGACAATGATGTCTCATCTCTTAAAATTAACCAACACACTTGTGTTTTAAATTTTTTAAATGTGAACTACGAGTAATATGATCCCCTATTGTACAGAATGTAGTACGTAGGCACTAAAGATTCGCAACTGCAGTGGATGCAAAAATTATAAAAAATTATTATCTTCTCATCTCCATCATCTATTTTTGTATACAACACTTATATCCAAAATACACAAATTTTCAAAGAGGGTCCTGCGGAGTACGGTAGATGTTTAAGGTGATAACACCTTCCCTTTGCATAACCAACCCCCGTACCTAGATTCTCTCTCCCTCTTTTTTGGGTTATTCGCTCTTTTTCTCATTCTTCTGGAAACAATAAAGCGCGGTAGAGATTTTTATTTGATCTGTGCGAGTCAAGTCAATCCAATGACTTAGTCTCAATATTTCTATTGCTACAATGATCATTGAAAATTTTGACCAAAAGTGGAAAGTGCAGTCCCATGCACCCATATTCAAGCTCATGTGAAATCTTACACACTTGGTCATTGATGCTCATTCTTTTTTCTAAATGATTGTATCATCATGGAGAGTAAAATGTGAAAAGAAAGTACTGATTTGTACACCTGAGCAAAAAGTTTTGACAATGTAAATTTGGTATCATGACTTGTAATTAGAGGTCAAAATAATTCAAAATCCAAAATGACATATAATGTCTTCAAACTTTTCATGGCTTTCCAAGTATAATTGGCCTTTGATCCTTGAATCAATCTTGTAAAGGACTTCAAATGTGATAATTGGAAAATAGAACCATCCCAAAAAGTTAAAAATTGAGAGAGCTATGATCTTTGGAAGTTGGCAAATATCACTTGAATTATATGTCCAATTTCACTAAGTCCACAAGATGACCTCTAATATTTCCAAACTTTTGATGATCTTCCAAGCATAATTGGCTCTTGACTTTTAAAGAGAAGTTCTAGAGCATGTCAAGAAGATTCATTTGTCCAAAAAATCACTAAAAAATGTTGAAAAATGAGTGAGCTGTGATATTTTGAACTCGATTTGATCTTGATCAAAGCTTTAAGAAACTTGATGAAGATGGCGTGGAAATATAAACATGTGAACCTTGAACTTTGTTGAGAAGAAAGCTATCAAACTTTGAGCTATCTATGATCAAGTGATGTTGAAAGATGCATGATGAGATTGTGATCTAAGATTATAGGTCATGCTTTGATGAATAATCTCTTGAGAATCAATGTTGACCAACTTTGACTTGGGGGTTCAAAATTCTAATTTAGCAACCATGTTTGATGTTTTTGATTCAAATTGCTACATTGCAAAACAAATGAAAGTAACAAAGCATATTTTTGGATTTTGGGTTAAGGTTAGTAAAACATAAAGATATATAAACCCAAATCAAAAGATACATAAGAGGGTGGTTGATGATCTCTGCAAGGCAAGACTCGAGAAAGAGATTATTAGGAAGCAATCATGTTTGTGATCTTGATGATATGCAATGATGTAAATGGAATGAGATTTTTGGGATAAAAATTAGGATATGACAGTCTGGCTCTTAGACTAAAAATACGCTACGTCCTTAACATCTGATGAATGTGGCAAACTAGACCCTTTATCGAAGGTTTGATTTGTGTAAATCTTTTCGAGATTCTGAACATATTTTGAAGAAAGTGATTCTAATCTTGTGAATCTATTCGTGTGACGCTTTCAAATCAAACCTAATAAATTAGTCGAACTATCTGGATCGATGTGACTAATGTATCGAAGACTATTGATATGTTTGGAATCACTGTGAGAATGAGAAAAAATACATGTTTAAATGACACTATAATTTATAACTTTTTTTTCATGTTGAAAACGCATTGGGACGCGGTATTTTTCTCCAAAAACAATTCCAAACACTCATTGTATCTCTCTATACTTAATTATTTTTCAAACGTGGTTTTCATCTAATCATTTAGCTAAAATCTCCATGCTAACAGTAACATGAAATGCAAAATAGATTAGTCTTTAGAGCACGTAGTTGTAAGCACTAATTTTTCAAAATAGTTAAAATTTATTTAAAGGGTCGACTTCTCTTGTTAAATACTTTTCCAAATAGGTGTTATAAATCATTGCATTTCTTAGAAGTTGAATTCAATGTGTAAGATATCAAAGCATCTACTATTTGTGGCCCAATATATTGGTTGCTTTCACCCTAGTTTAACTCTTCCTAAAAGTGCTGCTGACTATAAGCTACTTAGTAGCTAGTTACTTAGTAGCTAGTTACTAGTTAGTGTTATGGACACATCAATAGCCGAAAAGCTAACAAATTGTTTGTATGCAACGAATCACTAAACTTCAAAGGAATAGTTCACAATTTCTACTTAGTAGAAAAACAGTGTTCTTTCTCACATTTCAACTCTCAATCTCATACACTCTTGTGGTCCCCAATTCAACTTTATCCAAGAATCTACTTATCCTAATGCCGGAAAAGTAACAAAGATGACTTTTTTAGTTGCTTTTTTACTTGATCAAATGAAAAATTGCAATATACTAATTTAGTCACGTAACTATAAGTAAAGAAAAACGACAAACGCAAATAATTGCGGGATCTGAGAATGATGATCAAAGACAAAAGAAACAATAGTGGTCTAATAATGAAACTTAAAGAATAAAGTAACCAAAAGTTATAATAATTTAGAAAAAGAGTCTTCATTTTATATTCCAATTTCATTTCCCTACTACACATTTGTTAAACCATAGACAAACAATACTTTTTCTAATATAAAAACTAACACATAAAATCCCGTTTTCTCATATGCTAAAATAGTACTAATTAACAATAAACAATGCTCAGTAGAAGAGATTTCATTGACTCTTCTCCCATTTGACTTCCTTGTTTTCCTCTCTTGTGTTTCTCATATTTTTCTACTAGTACTCCTTCTACTCAGGTCTTGAAAATTATATTTGTGTGCATGGCTTGAACTCAAAGAACTTGTGTCCATCGGTCGAATTTTCTGAAGTTTCCTAACTTTTCGAAACTCACGAAGAATCTTCGCATGATTTTTTAAGATATAAAGCGATGATTTTTGATATTTGCTTCCAGAAAATCTATATCCTTGCTATAATAACAGCACAATCCACACAAGTCACGGAGAATGGTTGCATACTCTCAAAGTAAAAAAATTCAAAAGAAATGACCATTCGTTAATATGTTTACATATCTTACAAACCAAGTAATATGTAGTAGACTAGAGTAATTGGTAGTGCTATCAACATTCCAAATATAACCCTGCAATAAAAGAAAATTTCATTCAAGAAAAAAATGGTAAATTATTTTTAATAGAAAGAGAAGTTTGAAGAAAACAAAATGAAATTTGATTAATTAATTACTTACCCTGTACTAAGAATGGCGGGATGAACATTGTACTCTTTCGCAAATACAAATGGAACAATTCCTTGAGGAAGTGCGGCCTGTTTTCAGCAAATTAAATTTTCATGTCTACAATCTAAAACTTCCATGATTCACTTAAATACTACATAAATCATATATTTTTTATATGGTTTTAAATTGTGGCATGTGAAATCCGTACAAGAATTAAGTGACTTTCAAATTTCATAACTTTGATGACTTTATTTGTTTTTGATAATTGAGAAAGTGGAAAAAATAAATATTAGACAAGAGAATTTAGTTTACAGGTGAGAGAAAGAATCACAGTCGCGGTTAACTTTGGTGTTTTGAAGTTATTAAAACCAACCCGTTATGATATAGTGGAAATTCATCGAAAATGATTATTTTACCTGAACAATAGCTACTCGTAAAAGGTTGCCACGCAGGCCAACGGCAATGGAAGCCGCTGCCATGACTGCAGGTCCGGTAAGAAATCGAACTGCCATAGCAAATGAAGCAACCGAGTTCCCACATGCGATCATCTTAGGTTGTAGAGCCATAAACAAACCTGTGCACATGTCAAACAAAACAAATCAAAACTGTTACATTACATCCTCCATTTTTACCCAAAATGACACAAGATCAAAAAGTATCCATCCACAATTCACATTCACATTATCATCATTGGAAAATTCTTTACAATTTCGTGTGTGAAACTATACAACTATGATGTAGTATTGCCTGATTAATGAAATTCGACCTTTACCAAATTTTGGTCCCAAAATTGAACCGGTCCCTATGATAAAACCCCACATGTCGGGAACATTGCACTGTCACAACGCAATTACAATCCCCACGTTATCGTTTAGAAAACATGTTCACTTGGCTATGTTACATTGAAACAAACTCCAAAATAATGAACGGTCATAACTAGTTTCCTTTCTTTTCTTTTCCCCAAATCCATAATTCCCATACATAGTAGACTCATCATACCATGTTACTATGTAACTCCTTCATCGTTTTGTGATAATTGTTATGTTTTTCAATATTAAAAAAAAATTACAACCATCTAGTTTATTGGCTTTATTAGATAGATACACCGAAAATAGAAAAGAAGGCAATAATGGTGTTTAACGTAAAAGGGGAAAGAAATTGGAAAAGAAAGGAAAAGAATGAAATTATTGTAGGAGTAGGAATTTGGAGAAAATTGTGACTACTCACCTAAACTGAACATAGCCATTCCAAGACCAGCATCAGACAGTATGGAGATTGATTTCTCTATTATTTTGGGCATATGAACATGCCATCTGCAATCAAAATTAATAATGATCAAACCAAAAGGGGTTAAGTTAATAGATTTTGTCCTTAATTAATTCTAATTTGAGTTTTAAATTTTACCTAAAGGCCACTAGGGACCAAACGACACCAATGAGGCTGGAATATGTGTTTGGGTTGCGGATTAACTTCCGCCAAACCATGATCAATATGAGACGGGTCATAACGCTTGCCGGAGGCATGTGTTTTACAGTGGTGGCACAGGCGGTTGTCGGGTGTAGCTCCGCGGTTGAGCTTGATCCTAGCTTGTTCAGCCCGGCGGGTTCTTCTTTCTCTCGGCGATCTTCTTCTAGTCGGAGTTCATCTTCTTTCACTGGAAATTTCAACTCTTCTCCACCAAACTCTGTTTCTGGCATAGCTTCATTTTCTAATAAAAAATCAATAGAATCAAAATCAATCTCATGTTTCATAATCTCATTAACTTTCTCAAAAAAAAAAAATCACTACATATACCTTTATTGGTGACTCCATTGGGAGGATGGTCATCAGGAACCAACATTCTAATCTCCTTAGCACCTTGTTCGGAGCGTCCAGATTGATCAGACACTCCGTAATCAGCAGCTCCATTGCCGAAGACTTGAAGCCCGCTAGCTTCAGAAACCGGCGATGCACTAGAGCTCCACACAAACATGTGAAGCTCTTTAGCATCATGACTAGATTTAGCAGCAGCAGAACCATTGTTGGTAACTGTTTGTGGTTGTGCCTGAACCAACTGTTGCTGAGAATTTTTGCTAATACTCTTGCTCAACCCGGAAGAGAATTCTGGGTTCGGAGCCGGGTAAGTAGCCGTTGCCGGCACATTCTGTGCCGGATAAAATCCAAATTTCGGAGAGCTCACAACCAGCGCCGATGCTGCTGCTGGCGCTGGATTATCTTCGAAATTAGATGGTCTCGGAGTAGGTCCGCGCGACGTGGACTGAACGGAATACACATCCGCCGCACCAAAATTAGAATGTCTCGGCGCATAACCCATCATGGAGTAAAAATCCGTGTGATTAAAATTAGAACCTCGAGGCGTGGCGTTCCGAGAAGAGCTCAAACTATAAATCTCAGCTCCGGTAAGATTCGACGGCCGAGGGGTCATCATAAAAGATCTCCGAGAAGCATTCGATTTTCTGACATGAACATGAAGCTTCCCATCATCACCAACTTCAGCATCCGTCTCAAGAAAATCCCTTCCGTCAAGCGAAACAACATCAGAATCAACCTTAAACGAAACAATAGAAGCAGCAGTTTCAGGAAACTGTTCCATGATGAGAAGCTTGGCGCCACGGTACTCAAAAAGGAACAAAAGAAGTGTATACCAAATGATGCACTGAAGAACCACAACCTGAACCATGAGTTTGCCCGAATATTCGCCGTACATGGCAATAAGAAGCGGGATTCCCATAACCAAAGTGTTTGGCAATGTGGAAAGAGAGAAGATTGTGATCATCCACTCTAAGCTTCCGTTTGCGGAGAAATTAGTCCAAACAGTGAGAGCCAAGAGCATGATGATTTTCTGAAGTGTGTCCGCGGCGATGAAGCGGAAGTTCATAGCGTAGGGATCGTTTGTGGAGATGAAGTGGAAGGAGAGAAGTGGTACTGCGAAGATGGCCACGAAACGGTTTATGCCGGAGCATTGGTCCGGAGAGAATATTTTCCACCACCGTACAGAACCGTAGGCTAAGATCATGGCGACGTAGAGGGGAATCACGGCGGTTAAAACTGTGTATAGATCGTGCCAGGATATCATTTTGATATTGAAGGTTTTTGGAAATGCCGGTGGAGGTGGAGGAGATAGAAGGGTAAAATGGGAATAAAGTTAAAAAGATAAAAACCGTTAATTAACTAAACTAGTTAACTGGTAACTCGTCTAGCGAGGGTGTACTTTTGTTATTGTTGAGATTTTGTAGTCTGCAGAACTGCTGTGTTTCAGATTTTGGGGATGAAGCGACTGAACTATGAGAGAGAGAGAGAGTGTGTGTATTAGTGAGAAAGTGCGAATTTACAAAGGAAAACAGAAGTAACTTCTAGGGTAGAGATATAGGTCTAGAGAAAATCGGAAAAGTTGGTTATATATATAGACACCATGTCTTTGTTAATGAGAAATACTCGGATGAAAACAAATTTATTTTATATATTTATAAAAATATTTAATAAGAAAAGAAAAAAATTCAAATTTATTTAAAATTTAATTTATTTTTTAATTGGATTCATGAAGGTAGTTGTGATATTGTAGGAGAAAGAAAAACAAATATATTTTTTTTTTAATTAATATAAGATTATAATTTGATTGTTCGTAAAATTATATGTTAGGCTCATTTTCATACAAATATTTTCCTTCATTCGTTTTATTCAATTTTGAAAAAAGAGAAAATAAAGAAAAAGCAAAAAGTAGGATGAAAAAGAATATGATGTAAAAGAGATATACCAAAAGTCATGGTGCCATTGGCACCTTAAAGGTAGTCAAACTCATCACAATAAAGGCGGATCAAATGATTTTTGAACACATGTGATAATTTTATTTATTAAACTATAATCTATAAGTAAATCAATTAAATAATTCATTAAATATTTATCTTTATATTGTATAGGATATTTGGTGATTTATATGTCAAGGCACAAGATAAAGAATCTAAGGGTATGTTTATATGCAAAATAAGATAGAGATATGATATAATAATGAGTTGAATAATGATAGAATATGATATTGATATTAAAACGTATCATATCATGTGTTTGGTGTAAACATGAAAAAAAAACATGATAATATCTATTATGCTAAAGAATATGAATTTATCAGAGATTAGAGGTTGTAAGATGTAATATAGGAATTAAGTTTCTGATGTAGTGAGTGAGTAACTTAGTTATAAGATTAACACTTTATTGCTCAAATCAATATGTGAATAAGATGAGTGAATGAAGTTTGAATTTGAATTGTATATGGAAAATGACGGACTTCCTCATACAGTAGGATGTTGAAAGTTGGATGGATCATGGATCTAGATCTGTGTGCTTCGACCTAGAGAACTACCTCTACACCATGAGCGACTAAGTGAATTGTTGTCTTTTTTAGGTCGTGGTCGATGAGTCCTCTAACCAGAGACAAAACCAATAAATTTTAATAGTGGAGTCAAGGATTATAGTCAAAGATTGCTTGTTGATTTTTGATTGAAAAATATTTCAATTGCTTATTACTATAAATAAAATAGAAAAGAACATATTCAAAAACAATTTGTATCAAAGCTATAAATCGAAACAAACACTACAAACAAAATAGTAACTGGAGGATGAGAAAAACACAAGAAAGAGGGATTTGAATTTGGTTTTCTAACAAGCTTTTTGTTTTTAAAAATTATTTCGCAAACTAACTAGAAAGAATAACACTAAGGAAAGAATAAAATGACTCTTTTTGTTTATACAAGTTCACCTTTTACAAGGTTACTCTTGTCCATCCGCCAAGGTGATTTTTCCTTCAACGAAGACTTAATCCACTAATCTCAACAGATTACAGATGCACGAGCTACCCGCCAGTGACTCACAACAACAATCTAAGAGTCTAAAAAGACATATTAGCCCTCTCAAGTCTACAGACCAACAACCTAGTCAAATGAGGCAATAATCAATTCTAAACAGAATTACAATCAACTGCATTTACAATGTTTGTCTCTAAAAAGCAGATTGACACAACAATGAAAAGTAAATTCTCTAATACAAATAATGAGAAATAACTCTTTGTATTGAGAACTCTAAGATAAACACAAAAACAAGCAACAACTCTTTGTGTTTAATCCCTAATATCTTAACACAATAATGAGCAACAACTCTTGTGTTCTTGATATTTCTCTAGAAGAATATTTGTGGATGAATATTTGAATAGTGATTTTTATTTTTTCATTGCTGGATTGATTATGATATGATAAATGAGGATGATCCCGAAGATGCTTCATTGTTGTAGAGTCAGAGTCTTTGAAATATTTGAACATTGTCTTCAGATATACAAGCAACAATTAATCTGAGGAACAACTTCTTTGTTTGTGAGCGAAAGCTTTTTTAATCTATACGTCTTGATCTAATCTTTGATTTCTGATAACAGATTTTCTGAGATGTATGTCTAATGTCTGATTTCTGAAGTAAAAGCTTATGCCAGTACATCTGAATTTTTTATTCATACTTTTTGATCTGATCCTTGATTCTTGACTTTTGATCTTGGATTCTGATCTTGGATTTTGGTCTTTGATTTAAGCTAGAAGAAAAAGCTTGTGTCAGCTACTTCATTGTTTCTGATCCTTTCTTTTCTAATCTTGATCTCTGATGATGAGTTGGAAGGAAAAGCTTGTGCCAACTACATCTGATTATGAAAGTTTGGTTTCTGATCAAAATCTCTATCTCTGGAAGCACATGTGATTTCTAATATGATAATGGCGCTTTTCTGAGAACACATTTGATTCCCTTTCTGACAAAAATTTAACACTTCTTAGAACTGCTGATGTTTCTATAGAAACTGTCATAATAGTTCTTCTGATGAGTGCAATGGTGTTTCTGATGATATCTTGATTAAGACTATCCATAATTCTAATATCTTCACACTCAATGAAATCAATAGAACTGGAATTGTTCTACATAAAACATATGCGTTGTTATCATCAAAACATAGAGATTTAAACACATATCCAAATCTTGTTCTAACAATCTCCTCCTTTTTTATGATGACAAAACCATGTATTTTGATGGAAAAATTTTATAGGGTTAAATCGTAAACAAATATAAGAGTTTAAGAAAACCCCCCCTAAGTTGGAAACTCACCATAGGATACACAATCTCCCCCTGAATCATAAACTTGTGATCTTTTAAAGCTTTAGGGACATTGTTATCTTTTCTGAATCTGATCAATCATCATTGATTTAACCTTTAAGCTTATTATAGTATCCATGTTTTCTCATAATATTTGAAACATTGGTCGTTTTATACCAAAACTTGATTTGTCAGAGATGCGCACGATGTTCCTAAAAAGACATTCTAAACAATTTGCATATATAATTTTGTCTTGTTAGAATGTAAGCAATGTGATTTCAGAGGTATTGGTATGTGTTTTACCCCAAGATTTGCCCTCTCACTTATCAAGAATTTTCTCACAAGATCTCATTAGGCTCAAGACTGCACTAGGGTTTGATCAACTCAAGACACCTCCTTAAGCACTGATGACCAAAATTAGGGTTTAAGTTTGCACAAGGATAATTGAACTTTCAATGCCCCATATGACTTTCATGGATCATTATGGACCCCCAAGATTACTCATGTCAAGTTTCAAGCCTTGAATCACATTTTTGCTCAGTCAATTAAGCAATTGACCTAAAAATCAACTGTATTGGGGAAAAAGTCAATTATGGCCAATTTACAGTCAAACTTCATAATTTTTTATCCACATCAACATTATAAACTCATATGTATCATTTGATCAAGTTTGGACCACAATTCCTCAAGAAATTTGATCAAATCTTCAAAAGGGCAAAATTGTCAAAATTAGGGTTTTGACTAGGAAAGGGCAATTTCTGATTTTTGACCTAGCAAATGATAAATTGGTTTAAGGCATGATCTCAAGAGTCCAATTGCATAATTTTGACCTAATGACATGGCTCAAAACATTGCTCAAGTTCACAAGATTGGTAGATGAATTTTCAGTCAACTAATCAAAAGTCAACTGTATACTGAAAAGACAAACTTTGATTTTTTGGTCAAAATCAAATGTCAAAGATCAAAATTCATTAAAACATGTCAAAATATGAAACTTATTCATTAATAAACCAAAAAGTCAAGATTTCATTTTGAAAAGTCAAAATTTCTAAACTTAGAAATTTTTCTAAGTGTTGAAAATTTCTTATTTTTTCATAACTTTGAGCAAAGTTTTCACCATGATGCAAGATGATTCAAGAGAAACTTCCAACGTGAAAGTTCTATATCTCCATGAAATCTACAACTTTTCTTCACACAACTTCTTCCAAAAGTGCTAGGATCTCAAGTTATAATTTTAAGAACACGTGGTCATGAAACAAAACACTTAGTGAAATTTTGCCCTAATTTGGTTAGGATTTTGACCCAACTTCATGGAACTTTTTCATATAGTTCCAATGGGAATATTCAAAAGAAATTCAAAGATGGCTTTTAGATAACATTTCAAGCTTTCCAAAATGTCAAGGAAATCCATGAGATCATTTTTGAGTAGGGAGAATCGAAGAGATGAAGTTAGGGTTTTGTCACTTGATTTACAAGGCATTTTGTGATGAACAAAATTCAAATTCAAAGTTATGCTGCATAAAATCTGCTTTGCAGGCCTCAAAATTGTTAGGTACTCCATAATTAATTGCTTGCACAACCGTTAGAGGTCTCATTTTAAGCATTCAATGCATGGACGTTCTTTATATCCATTTTTGGAAGAAAGTGTACATTGCCATTTTGATAAAGTGATTTTTTGCACAAAACTTGTTCTTGAGCCTTGCACTTGTTCTCTTCTGATCACACAAGTCCTATAACTCATAAGAAATGGTTTAGACACTTAAAATCACCCAGCCCATGCTTTTACCTCACATTGAAACTTGGTTTCCCTCTTTTCTTGAAAATCAAGTAACCTGGCCAAAAGCTTGTGACTCGTACTTCTGATTGTCCAATGCACTCAAGACCTTTTGCTTATACATAGACAAACTATTTGCCACAAAAGACACGAATGCTTAAGCCCTGAAAACACCTAGAATTCAG